CAATCATGTAAGAGATAAAAGGTCTCAGAGTTTGGCACGGAATTCACTCATCCATTTGGTTAAATAGAGTCTTGACATTATGGCTCATATCAGTTCGTGATGAAAACCCTAAATCTGAATTCCTAATCTTGACCATCAAGTGTAAATCATAATTTTAATTCTCCATACTAGTTTATAACCCTCATTGAGTTTTAGTTATTAGCTGGACACTCTGTAACTTCATCGATAAATTATAGTTTCACCGTGGAAGTCAGTCTTTTTTAAAGTTTCGATATTTTATTAGTCTTTTTAATGGCGTGACCAGTGAAGTCTAACCGTGTCTGTTGTGAAGCAGTTACTCACTGAAGACAACGGTAGACGGTCACACAATAACGTGGGTTGGTTGAAGTTTGACATTAACATTGTCGAATGCCGATCCAGTGGTGTAGAGACTAAGAATTCGCGCGCGAGACCGAAGATCCTGGGTTGGAATGATGTGTTGCAGATCGTTTATATGCACTGCTGAGGAGACCCATGCTAGGACAAAACGGCCTTCCAGTGCTTCCAGGTTTTAATTGAGACTTGTGAAAGGATTATATATATATATATATATATATATATATATATATATATATATATATATATATATATATGAGGTAACTTCGCTTAAATTCGATACTATTGTAGCCAACCTGTTTATGGCATACATAGAATCTAACATTTACACCAATGACATTAAACTACGACTTTGGTTCAGCTATATAGATGATACACATTACACACTACTATCTTACATATAAATTAAACTCTATCCTTTATCAGCACAAAGGTAACATTTTTCATCCCTGACCCTACATACATACACACAAACCAACCAACAGGCAACCGTGTTGATGTCTAACTTCAACTAATGCACGAAATTGAGCGACACATCCACCATTGTCTTCAATGTGTTATTAACTTACAACAAACTCGGTTGAACTACACTGATCACTGTTTCTCACTAGAACTCGAAGAAATATCTCTTGAAGCCAGTCACTAGTGAGCACATGATGATGATTATTATGAAAAGAGGGTTTTGTGAAGATTCAATGATGATCTAACTTCAATTAACTCATGAACTCATGATATTGTTATAGAAAAAAGCAACAGCCTACTGTAGGAGAGAACAAATCACCTTCCAGCTGAGGAGGAAATTAAGAAAATAACGATGGAAATGGATAAGATATACATTACGGAAATCAATAAACTACATCACGAGACAGGCCCTAACTTAGAATCCTGAAGTGAAGCAGAAAAGAGGAAGCTCAACGAACACATTACATCAGCAATTGGAAGCAGATATGAAAAGGATGAATAACAACTGGAAAGAGCTGGAAATGATTGCTTAGGACAGAATTGAATGGAGAGTGCTGGTTGACAGCCTATACCCCTTCATGAGAAGTAACAGGCATAAGTAAAAGTAAAAAGTCATAATGACTTCAATGAATGATATTGTTACAGAAAAGAAAGAAAAAAAACTGTTCTTTCAATGTCTTATCCATTTCTTTCTTTCGTTCTTTCTTTTTTTCTTTCTTATTAAGAATTAAGAAGTTGAACTTTAAAGTAGTAATTAATTATTTATGATTTAAAAAACCGACAGATGGATACGTATACTACTTATCCTTGTCTATATATATATATATATACTACTGAATACAATTGGTTGTGGTTGATTGAATTACTAATGATGAAATGGTGCAGAAAATCTATGACATAATAATAAACATTGACTTTTGAATGAATATTGCCGACATAACCGACTATGAATGTAGACAATAGTTTTGGTATATAGATATACTAATATTAATGATGTTCCAAGAATAAACAAGATATTCTTAATAATTCCTATAACTAGAACTAACAATTCAAAGTTGATTATGATGAAGTTTTGTCCTCTCAATTAGATGGTCAGTTAGTTGTGGAGTATTTATCGGTCTTCTGAAGGATACCATCAGGATAAACATCAGATAGAAGTTAAAGTTGAATTCATTTATCATAGTGTTTATTATCGTTTTTTTTTCTCTCTTTATTAATCAGCTAATTAAATGATCAATCAATCATTTTGTTATGAACGATTGAATATTGATAGTTTTTTTTTAACGTTTGAAGCCCATGTGCAAGATCGTGGATGTACATTGATGAAGAGTTCCATAATAAGATGAAACAGCCAACAACATGGTCTATCTTTAACTAACTCATGAATTCAACTACTACGATCATTGAAAAACCTATTTTTGTGATATTTTTATTAGTGTTGATTATAATCTCTAATTATCAAATCAGAAAGATAAAGTATGTTGAGATCAACCTCAGAGAAAATGGAGAAGATATGTAGATCAGGTGGATGTTTTTGATGGAGATTATTTCAGTGAGCTGGATAGTGTGGTCGCAGAGATTTCATCGTTCTCCTTCTTAACGACATCATCAGCATAAATGTCAGGTAGAAGTGAAGTATTCGAATTTCTTCACATATGGTTCACAGATTGTCTTGTACAACTCCATGTTGGTTGATATTTGTTAACATTATACCTGTCATTGTCTACTTCTTCCTTTTGGTTGTATCTCCCACTAGTTTGATTTCTCTTCCTATTTTTATCCATAATCTTCCTGATTGGTTGATAAATTTAGTCGATTTCAATGTAATTGATGATTGCTGATTGACCTGAGTGCCAAGCTTCTAAAAATTCTCTGCTGTTTTTCGAATTGCCTCTATCGACAATTTTCACATTTTCCCAGTCGATTGTATGTGCACAGTTGTCCACGTGCATTGATATAAGTGAGGACATGTCATCGCGTTTCACTACTAATTGATGTTCATACAGGCAAAGATGAAGAGGGTGTCCGCTTTGCCCGATGTAGTGTTTTTCGCAACTGGCACAATTCATTTTGTAGATGATGTTTAGTTTATCTTTCGTCATTTCATTCTTCGATTTGCATGGCATTCACTGTTTTTGACTGATTTCGTTGGTTTATGTTCATCACGTATACCGAAGGGTTTCATTAGTCTCGTTGTAGTTTTTGATACGCTTCTTATGTATGGTTGGGTGATCGTTCTGTTGATTTCTCTACTTCACTTTGTTTCTAATGATGCGACTGGCTGGTATTTTTCAATGAGTTTGATTGAGTAGTGGTTGTTTTGAAAGATGGTCATCAGATATCTTCAGTTTTTCGTTCTGCAAGTGTATTGCAGTGTGTCGTTGCCCTATTGAACAAAGTTTGTACGCAGTTAATTTTGTGAGCTCTTGAGTTGTTTAAGATCAACAAGAACCAATCAACATGGAGGTTAACAGAACAAGCTGTAAACTATATATGGATAGATTCGAACACTTCAGACTTCTACCAGAATTTTGTGTTGATGATTTCGTTTAGAAGAACGATGAAAGCTCCACGACGAAACCATCAAACTCAGAGAACAAAACTCCATCAAGATATCAACCTCTGTCTATTTTAAAGCACTTGACTATCTATAACTAAATGAAATCAATTAGATTTTCTCAATCTTATTTTAAAGACTTTCTCGTATTGGTAATATTCCAATGAATTTGGAACTATTAAAGTCTATTCAACTTTAACCATTTCATATACACGTAGATAATACTTAATGTTCTCAGAATAACAGTCTACAAAGTCTACAAACATTCGTGAATACATAATTAACCTGCACTGTTGTTTAGGCAACTAAAAGTAACACTTAAACAAATGGATGAATGATACCACAAGTTCTTATTCTGGTTCATGTTACCAATAAGCATTTTATTAATATGAATTAGAGATTTTACAAACGAATATCAGAAGGAGTTTATCGTGGATATGGCAGTAATTTTAATAGTTGAATTCATAAGTCAATTGAAGATAGACTACCATAGGAAATGTGAAAGCACTGAATGGCCGTTTCTTCCAACTATGAGACTCCTCAGCAGTGCACATCCACAATCTCGCCTTGTGAGATTCGAACCCAGGATATTTGAGATATTTTTATACATAGCTATCCTCTCTTCATTTACTCTAAGATCTGACTTCATTTGTTCAAAAAGTTTCCGTTTTTTGGATTAAGTTGGTCATCAAGATAGTGTCTAATTCCAGGAACTACAACGAAATCACTTAATTGTATATCTGGACCCTCAACAATCAGAGACTACTCTAACCAAATAATTTCATACTGTATTATAGTACTATAAAAATATTCAAGTTGATATTCTGTTAACAAGTTTCAATGATCACAACATTCAATGGAATGAATCTACTTTGTAACTTATTAGCATCTTAAGTAAACTCTTCTATTTTACTATATTCATTTAGCTACTTTAACGAATTGATCATACTTATGATATTTCTATGTAGAAAGTAACTACTTAATAAACAATGGTGGGTAATAGCTAGCAATGGGATCCAGTTTGATGCGTCATTCGTCCTATTCAGAACTCGTTAGCTAGATGTACCTGTATCAGACAGTTAATGTCTACTCCGGGACTCGAACCCAATACTGTTCACTTCAAACACCATCACCACTCAGCTACTGCGTCATGCTTGTGCAATGGGGTGAAGTTTTCTAAATTCATTTATTAATATCTTTGAAATAACCTATTCAGATATTGAATTGGATTATTTTTAAACAGATGAATAAAGAGGATAAATGAATTTCTTAGAATAATTTGTCTAGTTAACTTCATACTACTTAATTTCTTTGATCAGCATATCCTTCTTGCACATAAATTGTTTCTCAAACTCGGACAATTCTATCATTGATATCATGAATTGATAATGATATTAGATCACCATTGAAAATCGGGAAGTAATGGACGATTGTTTCGCCCTATTGTCGGACTCCTCAACAGTGCACATCCACAACCCCCACCCGCGTGATTCGAACCCAGAACCTTCGGTCTCTCACGCACGAACGCTTAACCATTGGGCCGACACTTTTAACATATACATACATAATGTATTTTCATTTTGTTTGTTCTTTTTTCTGTTATTAGAATTACAAATAGATTAAAGAATATGAATTGCATAAAGTTCTATCTAACATCATTTGTAATTATTGTAATTTCTATTGTATTGATCAATTGTAATCGAATGATACATGAATATGGTGAGTTACATTTGATGAGTTCTGTATTTTTATTTTGATATCAAAGAGTTACTTCGATGGAGTTTTGTTCCCTGAGCTGGATGGTTTGGTCGTGAAGCTTACATCTTTCATTATGATCAAACCATCTAGCTCAGAGAACAAAACTCCATCAAAATCATTCACCTAAGCTATAAATCTTCTCCACTATCTTACTTTGAAACGGTACAATGAATGATTCACATGATATTGTTTCACTTGAATCTTCCCATTGATGTCTAAGACTGCAATTGACCAGTCTCTTATTGGCATACGTGCATACTGTGTGTATTGCCTCGATATTACCTTAATTTACAAGCATTATAAGTAAAGATGGATGATGGCTCGCAGTGGAATCCAATACGCACGTTTCGTCCTATTTAAGACACGTCAGTTGGATGTACCTACACCTCAGAGTTGATGTTGACCATGGGACTCGTACTCATTACCGTTCACCTCAAACGCCATCGCACTTCCCACTTGGCCACTGAATCGTGATAGCCACTTGCATATGCAATGGGGTGAAGTTTAATTCACATGGTATTGTTTCACTTGAATCTTCCCATTGATGTTTAGGACTGCAATTGATCAGTCACTTATTGGCATACGTGCATACTGTGTGTATTGCCTCGATATTACCTTAATTTACAAGCATTATAAGCAAAGATGGATAGTGGCTAGCAGTGGAACCCAGGACGCGCATTTCGTACAATGAATGTATATTTATATGATCGATAAACTGATGGAATAGTGAATGAATTACATCTCGTCGACAATTTTTTGAATAGAAAAGGAGATGATTCAATCAATAACAAAAAGCGTTCTATGAAATGTCAATACACACACCTCTTTACCTTTCTACACATTCGTTACAAGAGAAATCTAGTAAGATGTCTTGAAAATAAGGACAGAAGAATATGTTAAGATGACAGTATAAACATGGAACTAGAGTTTATTCATGATTATTTACTTACGTGAGCTTATTATCTCTAGTGCAACGTAAGCCACTTACCAAGATTACCTATCAAACTTTATCCTGGACTTTCCTTTCTAGTTGCTATGCAGTGTGTCTTTTCGTCTTCCTCTTTTCCGTTTCCCTTCAGAATTCAAAGTTAGGGATTGCCTCATTATGCAATTTGATAATTTCTGAAATATGTATCCTATATTAATTGTTACTCTGATCGTTAGAAGGGACATCGGCCATATGACTTTCGAAGAATCTCGACTTTTACTATAAGGCGTCATAATTCATCTAAATGAAGATTCTTCAACTCCCTAAGGAGAGTTTAAATTACTTTTTCCGGTCAGCGTTTTTTAACACGATTGTTTTCTACGGAATAAGGTTGGTGACCCTATGCTCAACCCTTATCCTTCCACTGATATTTGGATTGGCAGTGACCCTAGAAAGGCTACAGGCGGAGTTTTTATTCATAATATTTTTAATGAAATGAGTAATGTACAAGGTTTTTTGAAGAAATATATGCGTGCAGTGGACAGAAATATAGTGACATCACCGGTTGTTAAGATACCACTCTTCCTGAATTTTGAATCTGGTTATCCTGCACCCATGTTTATCTATGAACTCAGCTGCTCCTGTAGAGAAAGGTATTCTGGTAATACACTTAGACAACCGAGCCAACGAGGTGCTGAACACCTCACCTGGTGGTAACATAAGAGTGTAAATAGGACAACACCTGCGTCCGTTCCATCACATTTATCCGACAGTGATCCTGTAATAACTATTTAGAGTAATCTATTATATACCCACTACTTTTCTTTATCAGGTTCGATCTCGTCTTTTATATATGGTAAGCACTATAGCGATTCCAGCTGACAAGCCAGGTCTTAGTATTTACTAGAAATTTGTAACACGCTTATCCCTTCTTTGACCAAATCAGTATTAGCTAGTTATCTGAACACTTATGACGTAATTTTAGTAATCTTTAATGAATGTTATTTCAGTGTCTAATTTCCCAAGTTATTGACCTACTTCCTATTATAACTTACTTACTTTCACCCGTTACTCCCAAGTGGAGCGTAGGCCGCTGACCACCATTCTCCAACCCTCTCGGTTCTGGGCCTTTCTATTTGCCGATAATGTCTAACAAACGGATCCGAAGTATTTTGCGTAGACAACTGTTAATAAATAATTGTATCTTGTAGATGATGGCTTTCGTAGTTCTCCAGGTTTCTGCTTCATGCAGCAGAACTGTATGGAGTTGTTTTGATTTCCAGATGTTCTTCAGTTGTAGATATGTTGTTCTTACCTTGCCTATTCGCGCCTTCACATCTGCATCAGACCAGCCGTGTTGCTGCTTAGATATGTAATTGTTTCCACATCCTCTAAAGCTTTTCCGTCAACTATGATTCGACTGGTACATGGTGTGTTGTATCGAAGAATCTTGCTTTTCCCTTTGTGTATGTTAGGACCTACTGTTGCTAAGGCTGCTGCTACACTGGTCCTATTATTAAAGAAATGATCTATTCGGTCGTTATCACTGACTCATGAACTGCCTTGATTGGTTTAATATTTTCATATATCCATATACGTATCACACTATATTAAAGTAAATTCTGATGAGGATCTGATTGAAAACACTATTTTCCTATATGCTTTGTTCCATTTATTAAATAGTAGATACTGTCATTGTTGATTCGTAGTATATTAATTCAAGTTGACTAAATGTCAGTTAGTGAAACCTGAGATAGTTGGATAGCGATTTACTTTGTGTGGGACTTAGGTATTTACACTAAAACACGAATGATTAACAACCATTTTATTGTTGTCTCGTTAAAATTGTATACATGTTTTACTGACAAATGTTAGTAAGCACATAACTTAAACAGATTAGAAAGGATTCTTATCGATTGTTTTCAGTCAGCTGATAAAGTTAACTGACCGATGGATCTGGAAATGATTTCTTATATGACAAATTTATTGAAAGAGATCGTTACTGGTTTATTTTCATTTTATTAATTTAACACATAAACATTGGTACAAGGTGGGAACCAAATACACATGTGCCACATAAATCATTCGATTTGTGTGAGTGCTAGGATACTGTCTGGGTATTCAAACTGGAGCAAGTAGTTCTATTAGGAGGTCACAGTTTGAGCCTTCGACCTAAATGTCTAATCCACAAGACAGTGTATCAACGTCAGAATATGTAATCCCTTGGTAGCCGGTGATCAACTATAGGTTCATACGCCATTCGTTTCTTCAGGATCCTGGAGTCCATGTGCACCACTGGTTTTGAATCCGGGTTTTCCAACTTCCCTAGGTGGATCCTCTATATCCACCACTTCGGTTAAAGCATCGGACATTCGATTTTCGTAAACAACACTCTCACCGTGAGAAAGCAGTGAATAGGACTTCCCTGTCAGTGGCTGTATATTCGTGGCCATGTGAGAGCACTTCGAGAGGGAGAGGTAACTCTTCCCACTTTCGACCGTACCAGGGCATTTGGGGGCCATTACATTATTGTTATAACACCAATTGATTATTAATACTGAATACATTCAGTGGAAGAAGTTAATACGTTCGAGTAATATTTGTGATGTTATAAAGCATGTCTTTTCTGGTATAACATACTTAAAATGAATAAATTGTATTTTGTTCATTAATTCCTATGAAATTGTACTTGACGAACAGATAATTTAACTTTCCAAAGTGTTAGAACAATTCTGTCGTTTTGATAAGCTAACCATCATGAAATTGAAGGTGCATTACTCAATTGGTTACCGATTTTTAGCGAGTTAGTTTTCTACACAATAGCGCCGCTAACCCCATGCCTAACCCTCCTCCTTTGTCAGGGTTTGGGACCGGCAGAAGCCCCAGAGGGACTCCAGGACGAAATACTCCGGATTTCAGAAAAAATATTTTAAAAGAAATAATAGAATAAGCATACAACATGTAGTTCCATTTAGTCAAATTAGAACTACTAATATAATATAAGAATGAATCTGACAAGTACTGAGCTAAAATATAGTGATCTGCTTATTTCTTTTTTTACAAAGTACCTTTCTTCTTACTTATTTGTTGTTTTATAAAACTAGATGAACGTCTAATGGATTCAACTAATTCAGATTACATGACAGACATTCCCAGTGGAGAATTATGGTTTAAACGCGTACATGAACATAGATTTAATAAAAAGAATAGATTACCAATATCAGGTACTTTTGAGAAAACTTTATTTAACTACTAAAATACATTATAAGTAGTTAGTTTTATAATCTATATATATACGAACCATCAACCGTGCATTGAGGAAATTAGTCAAAATGGCATAGTTCAATTGAACATATACGCAAGTAAAATAAAAGCAGCTAACCTTGGCAATTGTTTAATTAAAGAGTGGAGTACATCTCCAACTTATTGATCCCATCGGAAAAAAGATTAAGGAATAGTCACATAATGACTGACAGGTAACCATTTTCCATCGACCATTTCATCAACAGTTACATTACATACAAAATACTTTAGAAACTAGTGTTTATTATTACCACTAATATGCTGCCTTCATTTACTATCATATTTAAATTCAGTATCGAATTGCATAGTTGACTAAAAATGAAATATTTTTATTAGGTACATTCTGTACATTTCTCTGTTTATTAGAAAATCCAGCTGTCTGACTTCATTTCATTTCTTCTTTAAGTTATACTGTAATTCTATTACCAGTAATCTGTAACTAGAAATTTAAACTTACAAACGCATCCTAAACATTGCATTTAAAAGGTTTTGCACTACTCCTAGTGCTGGGTTCGAATCCCACGAGGCGTGGTCGTGGATGCACACTGCTGAGGAGTACCACAATAGGACGAAACGGCCGTCCAGTGCTTCCAGGTTTTCCATGGTGGTCTAGCTTCAATTGACTCATGATTTCAACTATTGAAATTACTACAATCTCCAAAAAACCCCTTCTAATAGTATGAATGTATCACTAAAAAATATGATAAGCAAAAATGGATAGTGGCTAGCAGTGGAATCCAGTGTGGCTCGCCTTTTGTCCTATTTGGAACTCGTCAGCTGGATGTAGCTGCATCTCAGAGTTGATGTTCACTCCAGGACTTAAACCTAGTACCGTTCGTTTCTAACGCCATTACATTATCCAATTAACTACTGAGTCTTGATAGTCACTTGGTTATGCAATGGTGTGAAGTTTAAATTCACTTGGAATCGTTTACTTGAATCTTCCCACTATTGCTTAGGACTGAAATCTATGAGTCTCTTATTCGCATATGTGCATACTGTACGTAGTGCCTCAATATTGTCTTCCATCTTTGCTTATAATGCTTATGAATTAAGGCTATATCGGTGCAATATGAACAGGATGCACATATACCAATAAGAGCCTCATCTATTGTAGTTCTAATCAACAATGGAAAGATACAAGTAAACGCTACCAAATGAACCAATGAACATTCTTCAACCTACTATGATCTAATGTAGAATAATTCATTTCAACTACTTAAAAATTAGTAACTACCATCTTTCGATATATCAGTTTTCAATCCTTAGATCTTATTTGTATCGGAAGACATATTCATCTGAATATCATTAATTGAATTCTTTCAATGAACTAGACGAACATAAAAATGTTCTTACAATTATACAGAATTCTTTACTTGAATCCATTTTTGATGTAGTTTCGTTCTTTGAAATGGGTGGTTTGGTCATGAAGCTTTCATCGTTCTTCTGAACGACATCATCAGCAGCACAAACGTCAGATAGAACACTTCACATTCAAAGAACAAAACTCCATCAAAATCATTCATCTAAGTAATAAATCTTCTCCATCATTACTTGGATCCTTTCCATAACATATAGCTCTTACAGTCTATATCATGAAATGATGTTTTATGCTTTACATTATAATTATTGACCAATTCTATGTATCAATAATCATTTGTTTCTATGTATTTTATATTCGTTTTAGTAAAACGTCCACAGAAATCAGCCAATTATTATTATGATCTTTATCGACAATCAATGTTACCGACAAATGAATTTCTTGGTTAACTTGAAAACCATATTTTTCTTTCATTCATATGTAATTAATGTTTAAAAGAAAATACAAATAAGTAAACATTGAATAGTCAATATTGGTATTATATTTATTCTCATATTTTCGTTGTTCCATCCTACTTCATGAATGTGAAACATGGCCGGTAAGAGTAGAGAATATTCGTTGGTTACTAGTATTCAATGATAGGTGTCTTCGAAACATTGCTCGTATATCCTGGGATCACCGAGTAAGTAACGCAGTTGATAGGAAACGGGTACTAGGTAAGAATGGCAAATCAATTGAGGAAGTAGTGGAACTTCATCTGTTGAGATGGCTGGGACATGTGTTACGTATGCCCAACCGCCGACTGCCCCGACTTTGATGTTCTATGGTGTAGGAGTAGGTTGGAAGAAAGCTGTGGGCGGCCAGACCAAAACATGACACAAATCCATGAAGTCACTGACAAGTGGACTAAGCCATATTGGTAGGTGTAGACTATCTGGTTGCGGGGATCTGCGATATGATAGCAACCGATGGTTAGCGACCTTGAATGACATGGCTCAAAATCGTTTGCAATGGCGCAGGTGCATCCACTCTTTGTGTTCTCTCAAATTCTAATCTTCTGAATTCTTCATGTCCTTTATTTTCCTTCCAAATTGATTTCACTAGATTATACTCTTTGAATAACATCTTCAAACCGTAATCTTTCCGATTACTGCTTATAATCTTACTACCTCTACCAACATCAGATTTGAATCGATAATTGCATATCTGTGCTAATTTGGTATGACAACTCGAAGTGATATACGTACGTACGAAGTTCTAAGTTGCTGCTGACTGACTCAATTTTTTTCTTTTATTAGTGATCAACATTTGTGAGGTATCCATTATCTGTTCAATAGAGATATAAACTTAGCTACTGAAATTTCTGATGATGAGATGGCAGAGACGATTTTTAGCTCAAGTGAATGATATTGATGCAGTTTTTTTCTCTGAGTTGGATGGTTTGGTCGTAGAGCTTTCGTTGTTCCTCTAAACGACATCATCAACACAAACTTCAGGTGAAATGTTCGAATTTCTCCATATGTGGTTCACAGCTTGTTCTGTAGACCTCCATGTTGATTGGTTATTGTTGATCTTAAACAATTCAAGAGATCACAAAATCAATTGCGTACATAGTTTGTTCAAGGAGGTGAGGACACATTGCAACACACTTGCAGAACGAAAAAACGAAGAAAAATACCTGATGACCATCATTCAAAAGAACCAGTACTCAATCAAATTCATTGAAAAATACCAGCCATTCGCATCATCAGAAACGAAGTGAAGCAGAGAAATCAACAGAGGGATCACCCAACCATACATAAAAGGCGTATCAAAAACTACAACGAGACTACTGAAACCCTTCGGAATACGTGTTGCACATAAATCAACAAAATCACTACAGTTAATTGCATGCAAATCAAAGGATGAAATGAAAAAAGAAGATAAACCAAGCATCATCTACAAAATAAATTGTGGTAGTTGCCAAAAACACTACAAAGCGGACGCCCTCTTCATTTTCGCCTGTATGAACATCCATTAGCAGTGAAACGCACGTTTCGTCCTATTCAGGACTCGTCAGCCGGAACACAAAAATCAAACAAATTCATCATATTTCCATAGATTAATAACAATTATTTTGTTCATATCTGTAAAATATGTATTGTAAAAGCGATCTAATTACAAATTAGGCTCAAACTTTCGTTATGTTGGGCAGATCCAGAGAATTCCTCGACAAAAAAATCAAAAAGAAACTCTAAAATCACTGAGATACATTTTATCCAATTAGTATTCAATAGAAGTTATATCAGATACATCTTGAAAGTGAGAAGTCACATGTTGCATTTCTGATTGGATGATTACTTATATTGTTACTATATTTAGTAGCATCCTCGAATTTTCCAGAAGCTCAAGATCCTTTAATATGTTATAAATACCCTCGATTTTCTGTACATAAACGAAATATTGCAGTAAAGTGTTTCTTCTACATTACGCGCCATTCCTCTCATGTTCAAATCGTTGTGTTGGTTTAGCCTAGGAGTTACTAGAAGAGCTTAAGAACTAGAATATAACATTCAATTATATAATAGAACACAATACTTATGCCTGTTACTCCTCCACGAGAAGTAACTGATTGGTCATGGGCTGAAATCTCGCAAGGCGGGATCATGGATGCGCACTGCTGAGAAGCCCCACAATCGGATGAAACAGCCGTCCACTAATTTCAAGTTTTCCATGATGGTCTAACTTCAATTCATTTATGATCTCAACTATTGAAATTACTATAAGATCTACAAATAACCCCTCTTCTGATATTAAGCAACATATGACCACTAGTGACTGACTTCAAGAGGTATTTCTTCAAGTTCTAGTGATAAGCCGTGACCAGTGGAGATAGTGACTCACTGAAGACAATGGTGGATATATCACTCAATTTCATGCATTGGTTGAAGTTAGATATCGTTACACACCGTTGAATACCGGCTCAGTAGTCTAGAGGTTAAACGTTCACACATGAGACCGACAGATCCTGAATTCGAATTTGGCGGCACGAAATCGTGGATGTGCACTGTTGAAGATCATCTCACAAATAACCCCTCTTTGTAATATCAAAAAAAAGAGAATCTATTTATAGAAATAATAATTATTATTTTTTTTTTGAGTATTAAAATATTAAATGACGTTTACGATTAATTTCTAAAATAGTTCGTATAGAATCTTTAATAATCCATTTCATTTTATCTATATCTAATGAACAGATAATATGAAAATATAAATGTGAACCTTTCATAGTTGCATGATTATGTAATTCTATTAAATAAGATTTAATCATTTGAATAAATATATTCCAATCTATAATGAAAAAGAAAAGAAGAAAAACTACGTATGATTCCTTTTGTATGATTAGTTAAACTGAAGAAGTCGTTTAAATGAAGTGACGAAACATCGGAAAATCTAAGAAAAAAAAGGTTTTTTTTACCCATCGATTAAAAGATATTATTTTATTGACTATTATGATGAGAGTATAATTGATGAGTGACCTTTAAGCAATGGTCAAGTGACCATGAGAGTGTTCACCTAGTAACTAGGATCAAATGAAGGTTATAAATTAGTGTAAAGAATTCGAATTATGATTTATAGTTGATAGTTAAGGGCTGGGAACTAGATTTATGGTTTTGTTTTGACCACGAACTGACATTACCTATAATGTCAAAACTTTATCTAACTAAATGGATGCGTAAAATTTCGTGCCAAAATCCCAGACCTGTTGTCTTATATCTGATTGGTTCATCCATAAATTATAGTCTCGCTATTATTATTATTATTATTATTATTATTATTATTAGTAGTAGTAGTAGTAGTAGTAGTAGTAGTAGTAGTAGTAGTATTTGTGTAATATATAAAACAGTGTGTATTGAAGAGGTCATCGATAAATTGCATAACAACCCTTAATACGATAATCAGTATGTTAATATTCAGAAATTGAATGAGGCATATGCACTAATGAACAGATTGTACCTTAACTTATAATTCTAGATGTAATAAACTTGGGCTAGACCCTTTATAGAAGAAAAGACTCAAATTAAATCTTATCTTTTCCTTTAAACTATTTAATAAACTATCGTTTAGATTCAATCACGTGATTCAATATGCAGAAACTTCTCATTATGAGATCCGTAATTCCTTGTCGCTAGTGAAACAAACTTATTCTAAATCATCTCTTTATATGAATTACTTCACCTGTAAATTTTCTAGACTCTGGAATAATCTGCTACAATCCATCCATAAGATAAAGCCACTCCAATACTTTGTTCGCTGCATTCATACATACTGATCATTTGAAAATGCATTTAATGTTCTAGCCACCTGTAAATGTATCTTATTCCACAAGTAAGGTCATAGAAACTTTAAATGTTTAGTCATTCTTGTTACGGAATTCACTAAGTAAACCATCTACCAGCTGTTACTTTACGTTAACACCGGCGCTGGCAACCTTAATTAATTCGAATAATACCTAACATGGACAGTATATCACTAAGTCACATGATACATGCATTATGGTAGACCTGATTGACATATTTTAGTAATTATTGCTCTGTTGTTCCGTACTCTCTGTTTTTGTTTTAATTTCACTAGTTGTAGATAATTATCATTAATTCGATGTGGCACATGAAATGACTTTAATTACACCATTCAACAGGTTGTCCACTTAAGAAAAATTATAAGTTCCCGGCTGATTAATTCGATTGCTGTAATACATGTACTACCTAAACAATCACTGAACTAGTACATTTAAAACATCTAATGTCACTATTTATATCAAATTGATCATGCCTGTAAACTCTAGTGAATAAATATATCTATTATAAGAGAACAAATCTCCATCAAAACCATTCACCTGAGCTAACAAATCTTCTCCACCACCTAAAAGCTATTTCACTAACTGGTAATATTTAAAAACCATTAAAAACCAGAAAGATCTTGACCGTTACTTCGTTCTAGTATGAGACTATATGTGTGTCCTAGTAGTAGTAGTAGTAGTAGTAGTAGTAGTAGTAGTAGTAGTAGTAGTAGTAGTAGTAGTAGTAGTAGTAGTAGTAGTAGTAGTAGTAGTAGTAGTAGTAGTAGTAGTAGTAGTAGTAGTAGTAGTAGTAGTAGTAGTAGTAGTAGTAGTAGTAGTAGTAGTAGTAGTAGTAGTAGTAGTAGTAGTAGTAGTAGTAGTAGTAGTAGTAGTAGTAGTAGTAGTAGTAGTAGTAGTAGTAGTAGTAGTAGTAGTAGTAGTAGTAGTAGTAGTAGTAGTAGTAGTAGTAGTAGTAGTAGTAGTAGTAGTAGTAGTAGTAGTAGTAGTAGTAGTAGTAGTAGCAGTAGTAGTAGTAGTAGCAGTAGTAGTAGTAGTAGCAGTAGTAATAGTAGAAAGAGGAGGAGGAGGAGTTGAATATCACTGTATACTTACAAATCACTAATGATTTCA